TATATTAGAAAACCCTCTCTCTTGTGGCTTCCTCCAGGGGTGATATCGCTGGTTTTTTGGCATTACAACAGCGATTCCCACCGATTTCTTGCCGTTTCTTTTCTCTCCATCAATCCTTCCTTCATTCATTTGCTTGCCCACCCGAACACTTAAATCAAACCCACAGATTTCAATTTCTTATCTCCAAAAACCCAAAATGTTGTAGTTTCTTTTACTTTTCAGTATGCAAACCCATAAACTAAAAAGAAAATTGTTTAGCAAATTTCAATTCCCGTTCCTATGTTTAATGCTCGACTATATTTGCTACTTATATTGTACACGATCAATTTGGATAAATAAAAATTTCATAGTTTATCCAAAAAAAAAAAAAATTGCTACAGGGATGATAACAAACACCCACAGTAGAACTCTTAAGATAAAAATTCAAAATAAACAATGAATTTATCAATTAATGATTGTAATTTTTTTTTTTATATTGGTTGCATAACGAAAAATAATTTTTTTTCATCTTTTATCTTATCACACTCGTATATCATGCTCACTTTTTTAAGTTTGTATTTTTTTTTGTTTCACAATAACCCGTGAAAGTTTTCTCATAACTTATCTTTTTAATTCATCATATTAGTTTTTTATGCAATTTAAACACAAAAAATTTCACTTATTTCATTTCAACATAAGTAATTAAAGTTTTATTATTGGTAAAAAATTAGGTAGAACTACCTACGAATTTGGCTAATGATCATGACAAAGATGTCTAACCATGTCCCCCGTCCTTTCTTTCCTCCACTTTGGACTTGTTATTTGTCAAATTTCAAACAAAAAACAATAAGGATTTAATTGACCAATTGTTCAGAAGTCTAAGGACTTAGTTTCTACTGCATAGGGTAAAAATGTCTTTTCATGTCACAATAGAATCTGTTTTCTTCGATAGAATGCTTAACGCTACTATTCAGTGACCAGCAGTGGAGTTGCAGACGCAGGGAGATCTAGAGAGGAAGTAAAGATGGCGAAGAAGGAGGCATTGGGGTGGATGGAATGGTGTAGAGGCTGGATGCACGTTATATACGAGATGCTTTTCCAGAGGATACTGGCCAGTCATCTCGAGAATCCTTTGCCTTTGCCTCCGATCAACGACCTCACCTGCATTGTCACCGGCTCCACCAGTGGCATCGGCCGCGAAACTGCCAGGTTTTCCTCCTCTTCTTCTTCTATTTCTTTCCGGCTATTGGAGATAGCGAGAAAGCAACCGTTGATGAAATCAGTTTTCTTTTCCTGACTAATTTTGACAAAGTATGGGAATCATGTTTTGCACTGTTTGAGAACAAATTAGAAGTCTCTAAGAGTCCATGAATTTTTTCTGTATTGTTGTCTATAGATTTTCTTCATTATCACGTAATTTTTTTGTTTTTGTTCTTGTTTCTTCTTTAGGCAATTGGCAGAAGCAGGAGCACATGTTGTTATGGCTGTCAGAAACACAAAGGCAGCTAACGAGTTAATCCAAAAATGGCAAAATGAAAGGGATGAAGGTGGCCTCCCTCTCAATATAGAGGTATATAGTAGACAAATAGAATTCTAATACAGTCCATTGCTAAATTATATCATAAATGGAAGTATTAATCATAATGCATGAAGATAGAAGGAAAGTTTTTGGACAACCATAGCTGTCCAATTGTTGTACATTCAAAAATTTGTTTTGCAATCTGGACTGCACAGCTTAAACCAATGGATGCGGTAAGCCCTGGGCTATCTCACATCCAACCGTTCCCTTGTTGCAGTCCAGACTGTAAAATAGGCAACTCCTTATACATTTTTCTTTCTTGGTTCTTTAGTCAAACATGGTAAAATTGGTATTTCTTTATCCTTGTAAAAAACATAACAATACCTTAATGTCAACCTGACCATTAACAATATCCTTTCTAGGTAAGATTCAACTCAGTTTTCTATTGCATTCTACCATGACTGATGTAGAATTTATCTTCTTAAGGTGATGGAACTTGATCTTCTATCCTTGGATTCTGTAGCGAGTTTTGCTGAAGCATGGAATGCACGTTCAGGACCTTTGCACATTCTTATTAACAATGCTGGCATATTTTCAATTGGAGGTTGGTTTTTTCTCCAAACCATACACTTGCAGTATTTCAGTCAATGTTTTCCTTTCCAATGCTGTTATGTTCTACTTGTGATTTCTACTTGACTTTTTGGATATTTTATGTCTATCACCAACTTAGGATGACTGACTCATGCTTTATGTTTCAGTATGACTGAAAGAATGACAGATTCATGGTTGGTCTTCTTTTGACAAGCAATCACTAGAATTTTGTAACTTGAACTATTTATAATGTAAATTTTATTATAAATGATAAGGCTTTAACTCATTGTCAATTTAGTGGAAAATCTAAGCAACAGATTCACAGTTGGTTCAATTAATTCTATTCATCTACTCAATTAGTTCTGTTTCACATTTCATAAAGTGAGAAAGTTCACTCAGTAATTGGATTTCTTTTCACAACTTACAACAGACTGAGATTTGAGTACCCATGCCAAATTTGATTTTTGCTGATCACCAAGTTATAGAGGTTAAAAAGATATAGAAAAATTTGATCCTCTACTTGTCTAATTCTTTACAGCTTTGCAGCACTTGTTCATTTCCTATATTTCTAATTTAACAAATTTATTATGCCACATGATTTTGTAAACCTTTCGCTTAATAAATAAATTAAATGAAATGTTGTATTGTAATAATGGTGAAATATATAGTCGAGGAAAAGCAAACTGCCAGACTGGCAACCATGAAATATTATAAATCATCTGAGCTTCTACATGCAATGCACATGCAATGCATTGATCCCAAACATTATCAACTTATTAGCTATTTTCACCTTTTAGTTAAAGGGAAGACAAAGAAAAAAAAAATTTTTTGGTTAAATGGATTTATCCCACAATGGTAAAGTTTGAGGTTTCTTCTTGCTTTGTACTTTAGTGGGGCCTTGGCACCTATTTCCAATTGGTTTTGGTTCACAAGCCTTTACAAGGTGTGAAAGCTCAGGTTCGTCTATAACCTGCTTGTTATTCATATCCTTTCATTGTCCTTGTGTCAAGCTTGCCCTTGCCAGTTGTTCTACCATCAGCACACGTGACAAGGGGTGCTAAGCAGAAAATTCTCACATTGATTAAGTTTAGGGTCCCTGCAGTGATATAATAAAACTGGCCTCTCTACCTATTTCCAATCTGGCAATTTCTTTTAGGTAGGATTCTTTAATATGGTATAGGAACCTAGGTTCATTTGTTGCCCCATAAGTCATTTGTTGTCCTTCTACTGGACCAACACATGAGGAGGAATGTAAAGTGGTCTTATCCAACATTTGTTAAGTTTGGGGTTTCCTGTGGTCTTATATTCAGGTTGGACCTCTCCAACTGTGGCTTGGTTTTATGTTGAAGGCTTCAGCACTTCTCATAATAATTAAGCTTTGCAGTCTCACCTTTCCTAAGGAAATCAATTTCAGATTACAAAGAACATTTTCTCTGCACTTCCAATGGTCGTGGTTGTTGTAAGAAAACAGTAAGTAAAGAGACATAGTGGCCTTTTGTCACCATGGAAAAACACCTAAGCCCTCCTATCAAAATTAAACTGTTTTGCTGCATTTCAAACTGCCATAGTTTTTCTTCAACCTTTTTCCTTTCATATTTGTGTTCAAAAAAAAAAAAAAACCCGAATCTATTTTATATTTCTATCTAAAACATCTTAGCAATCATGTATACCCATTTTAAATTCCTTCTTTTTTGCACAAGGAAAGTAATTCTATTAATGCTCACAACCATACCCAACAGGGTTACAAAATTCCAGTGGGCATAAATTCCTTTGTGGCAAATGCAAGAGACAATGATGTAGAAAATGACATTTTTCTTGGTGTTCACCACCTAATGTCTCACTCTTTACATGTTCAAGCTCCTGATTGACAACATCCCAGTTCGATTTAACCAAAATTGAGCTGCCATCTATACCATGTTTAGAAAAATAGGAAGAGATAGCACTAGTACACATTTTTGGTAACCTGCTATATCTCAATATCTCTGTAATATATCACTAAGAATCTTGCTAAACTAGTAATGCCTTTTGCTGTACTTGGTACATTTTTCAAGATTCCAATAAATAAGTCACAATACATAAAGTAATAACAGTCATATAAAAACAATTAAGGCATTGTGGAGGGAGACCAAATAAAAAAGTAAAATATCCATTCCGTGATATTAAAAATCTCTACGAGTGTTGCCAATATATTTTGTTCTTTTGATTGCATAAGCTGTTTATTTGAAGAATTGGCTGTACTTTTTTAAGTGTTGAATTTCAATGAATTTACTAGTTGCCTTTCAAATGCTGTAGATTCCCATCACACTGACTGATTTGCATCCATATCACTGTTTTCAGAACCACAAAAGTTTTCTAATAATGGGCGTGAAGAACACATGCAAGTAAATCATCTGGCTCCAGCACTGCTTTCAATATTGCTTTTGCCTTCCCTTCTTAGAGGATCCCCTGGTCGAATCATTAACGTGAATTCCATTGTAAGTTGCATGAAGAAATATACTCCCATTTTATATGCCTCATTTCATACTCAAAGGAGTTTCTCTATCTTTCTTTCTTTCTTTTCTTCTCCGTCCCTTCTCTCTTTTTTTTTTTTTTTGTTTGTTTGTTTGTTTGTTTATGGCCAACTTGTTCTGTTTCTTTAAAGTTGCATCTTTTTCCTGCTTATGTCCATGGGGGTTGAAGAGTTTTAGGACATCCCACCTAAAACGGATTGGTTGGTAGGTTGACAGACCAAACATTAGCAATGGTTAGAAGAAGTGGACTGCTAGCCCTATTGTCAAAGGTTTGTTGTGGAAATGCAAGATTGAAGGTGGAGCTGATGTTGTAGCTTTCTGACAGATTTATAAGGTAAAGTTCCTGTATTGGTTGAAAGTGACCACCCACCTCCCAAATGAATTTACCAACCTACAAAAATTGATGGTAAAAGAAAAAAGGATATAAGAAATGGTAAATGGTTCTCTTAGGTTTAGGATTGTAAATCCCAAAAAGAGCTTCGCTTAGTTGGTAGCCACTAGCTTCAAAAACTTCTTTGTTGATAAAAAAGGGGGCTTGGGGCGTTATTAACAACCTACTTTGTAGGTGGTTTTGTTTTGTGTGGAAGGTATTTGGTGCAAAGATTCTCTAGTATGCTTTCATTTGAGAACGTGAATCTTTGTCTTAGATTGAAATTCTCATTTAGAAAAGGTTTGTTACTTTGATGCTAACCTCGTACTAGAGGCTAGCTCCTTTTAATTTCTATTTGAGAATATAGGAAAGCAGTCTCCAACGTATAATCCAGTCCAGTGCATCAAACCTTTGGATGTATTTCAGACCAGCTAAATGGAATACATTATGCTTTCTTATGGCTCTTATTATAACTCTGTGTCATTGCCTCTGAGGACACACACTTCCAGTAGAAAGATGTGGGTGTTGGCATGTATGAATACTTTTCCAGATTATGCAATCAAAGTACATTGATAGAATGACATGAAAAGGACAGATTCTGGAAAAGAAATTCTAGAAAGTACATTTAATGCTTCCTTGTGTGACTGCAGCAGCTGTTGCTTCTTTTCTTGAATCTTGAAAATACATAAAGGGGCTTTCCCTTTTTGTATCATTCCACATTGTAAAATAGTGCATAGATCTCATCACATTATGGAAATAATTTGCTATCTTGTGGTCAGTTGTTTCTTTTCTCCTTTTGCTGAATTATGCAACATTTCTCAATAGCTTTCCAAATTATTTCTTGCTAAAAATAATGTACCAGATAATGAAATGTACCACATAAAATTGACGAATTTAATGTCATGATAAAAAATTTGAAAACACATAAAACATTGAGAACATGCCTGTCTTTTAGACTAGTTAATTCTGTGTAAAGAAAATGAAAAGGAAAAATAAAGAAGAAAAATGCATGACTTGCAAGACTTGTCCCATGTCTTGATTCTTGAATTTTTATTTATTTTTATTTTGTTTTGACTCCTGTTCTTCCACTTCCTGATTAAATACTATGGCTAGTTTGCCTCTTTTATTATTCATATCATTTCTTCTCTTCTACTTTATATGAGATTCTCTTCTATGCTTTCCTTGTGAATGGTTTGAGCCCCTCAACACTTCTTACTAATCTGTGCATTTATTATTAGAATTGGTTTTTAGAAATGAGTTGCGATGTGTTTATTTTTCAGTATGGAGGAATGCATTGTGTTTTTGTATAGGATACCTTCTTTGGCCTTTTGGCTAAAATCAGGTGTAGTATCATTGCATAGTAATCTTCTGTCCTTCTGTTTTTTTTTTTTTTCCTCCCATTTTCTTTGGTCGGAGGGTGGCTTATCCATTTTTCTTGATGCAGATGCACCATGTTGGCTTTGTTGATCCAGAGGACATGAATGTTACCTCTGGGAGGAGAAAATATACGAGCTTGGTGGGATACTCAGGCAGCAAGCTTGCACAGGTATGGTTAAAACCTAAGAGTCATTGTTTATGCTTTGAAGTATCAACAAATTAGACAACCTCAAAGTTCCCTGAAATGTTTATGAAGAAATCTTCTTTCTTGAACAAAATCGTAGAATCTTTTTTAATCAATTCCAGCCTTTGCTATATATATATATATATATATTTTTTTTTTCTGAGATCACCATGGCACAACAATCTTACAATTTACAAGCACATTCTTTTGTGTGGGATTATGATCACACATGGCAATGTTCTCATCATTTCTGAATGATGAATCATTGAAATCCCTGCCATGTTGTACATTCACTGTTTTCGGCCACATACATTGATTACTGTGAAATAATAATTGTCAGTTTATGATTTTAGGTTGATCACCAAAAACATCCTCTAACTAGTTTGTATCTATAGCTCAGTTAAGGGGAGTTTACTTTAATACTTTTTGTGAAACTTTACAAAATAATCTTTGTCTCTGGTTCCTTGGATGGTGTCTTTGTTAAGAAACTTTATCTCTTCTTGCTCTGGTGCCTGTAGCCCTTGGAACATGTATGTCACTTTTCTTAGAACCTGTTCTAACAAAATTGCATCATCAGGACCCTGGTTGATGGAAATAATAAGAAAATAGCCTATAATTATTCTAGTGGTATTTAATATCATAAATTTTAGAAAAAAATAAAAACCACTGGAATTTTGGGAGTTACCACATTTCTTGGCTGTTTTAGTTGGCATGGATTTTAGGAATTTTGTGTATTTTTTGGTCTAAACTAAGGCAAGCATCTACGTGTCTCTTTTGCTTTATGCTTTAGTTTGTTACTTGTAGCATCCATTTTGCTAGTCAATAAGATTTCAGGATTATGCATGACTGAAAGGGCAGGCTTTATATTTTTGAAGCTATGAACAATTAGTTATAAAGCTTGGCTGCGTTTGATTGCAGGTTATGTTCAATAGTGTTCTCCATAAGCGCCTGCCTGCTGAAGCTGGCATTTTTGTTCTGTGTGTATCGCCTGGAACTGTCCAGACAAATGTTGTAAGTCTCTGAAGTATTACAATTTCCTATCTCTAAAAGGTTCTATGTGCATTGTGTGCTTGAAATTCCCTCTCCGCCTAGGCAGAGTTACTGTTACAATTCTAACTCAACAAATTAATAAATACCATTAAAATATGAGGACATGCATTTGATTAGAATATGAGCTGTAAACCAAATTGTTGGTTGCAATGAAATCTTTGGGGGCATTTTCATTCAACTAGCATGTGGGCTGAAAACATCGATGTGTTAGTCACATTGTTCCTCAAGCAAAGGCTGCAAAGAAAGCAATGATGTGGTGCCTTTGGGATTGCCCAATTGTTGAATATTAACACTAACAAAATGGAATCAGCCAGTGTTAATCATTTAATTTTGAGAAAGTTCATATGAAGTCAAGGCAAGAGATTCTCCTCTTAGTTTTTTCACCATAACAAACTCATGTAGTGCCCAAAACTATTTATTATTGTTAAAATCATTAATTTGAACTATGGAAACAATTTCCTTTCAAATTTTCTCCTATTTCTTCGAAGTTTAATGCGTGAAATGGAATATTTGTTGCATGTGCATTGGTCATGCAGCTACCCTAGTTCAGGCCATCTTATTTTATTCACTTGTATTTGTTCTTGTGGTATATTCTCCTTGCCATATGATACACATACATTTCCTCTTTATCTTAAAATTAGAAATGTACAAAGTAATTTTACTGTAGTTTTCTCTCATGGTTCTGATTATTTCTAAATCCAGGCAAGAGATCTGCCCAAAATTATTCAAGCTGCATATCATCTAATACCCTATTTTAACTTTAGTCCTCAGGAAGGTAAATTTCCCAAATACTAATATGCTTGCTTTGTCCTTTTAAATATTAAACTGTCACATTGTATGTTCATTGAGGCACTTTTATATTTCAAGCCTTGGAAACTCCTAGAGTAATCTTATTGTTTTTTAACAGATATGGAATAGTTTGGAATTTGAAATGTTCCTACCCAAGTTTCACCATGCCATTGGTTTGGAATGGGGAGAGTCTGACTGGGTTGTAATTCAAAAGTATCTTGGTATAGAACACCACTTTATACAGGCATCCCATCCAGCATCTTAGTCTTACTGAGGCTTGGTTAGAGGTCTGCACAATGTATTTGATTTAATTCCCATGCTAGGAGCAGTTTAAGTCATCTTCTAGCATGACACAGATTTTGCATCCTCATCTTTCAAAATTGTGGGAAGATGGTCAGAGGCATGCACATTGTAAATTCACCTAAATTACAGGTTTCCCTTTTATGCCCAGACAAGCAAAAACGTGCATGCATCTAAATTAACCTACACTATCTTTTATTGTCACCATGCTTTGAGAGAAGCTGTGTAGGATGGCAAAACTCAAATCAAGTGCACTTGACCATTTTTATTCTTCTTCTTTTTCACTTCTTTTGGCTGTACCTTGACATGTCTCTGAAAATGTACAACTCTGGTGTCCTGTTCAAAATTTTAGTGTTTTTTGTGTGTGCATGTGTGCGCTTTCACTAATTGTTGAAGAAAACTAAACTAATTGAATTAATCTAAGAGTCTTGCTAGTTTATGTTTCCTCAAGTTAACAAAATGAGAAAAAATAAACACTGCAACAGTTGGTGATGTAAATTCTTTTCAAATAATACTCTGGATGTAGGTTCCAGAAGTTCTCTCTTTGCAGCAACTGATCCCCAGATTTTAGAGTATTGTGAGTGGTTGAAAGCAGATGAGTGGCCTGCTTGTGCCTTCATTTCTCAAGATTGTCGTCCAACTAATCCTTCCGAAGAAGCTCATAATATTGAAACTCAATACAAAGTGTGGGAGAAGACACTGGAGTTGATTGGCCTTCCTTCAGATGCTGTGGAGAGACTTATAGAAGGTGAAGAAGTCCAATGCCGATATGGATCTCAACGTGACTAGCTCACTTGCAACAAGAGCACTTGCTTTTACCTTGAAGCCCACGCTGAATGTACGTTACCCAACACTGATGATTATAGTCGATTGAAACTAAAGCTACAATTCGCGTTCTGCTGTACCTTGGGTGTAAGATTGTTACAGTGAATTGCTGCCTTAATAGAATTAATCTTTGAAGAAATATTACCTTGATGTGCTACTTTGCAAAAATGATTGTTGTTTTATTTTACTTCTTTCCTTTTTCTGCATTTGTATGAGAAATAGTTCGCATTTTTATGTTGGGAGAGTTTATTTTAAGAGTTTTATGTTTGCAATTTGTACTACATCAAATCGGAAAATAAAGATAAATAAGGGAAAAACTCTTAATATTAGAGATTCACCCTTTATTAAAAGGTCACTATTGTGTAATTCAAATAGCATAATAGCTTATCCTTATTTTAGAAGATAGTGTAGTGACAAAAGTTTCAAAAAAATTGTACCAACAAGAAAAAGAAAATTGCATCAACAAAAACTTACTGGAATTTATACTTATTAATTTAAAATTTTTAATTTTGAATCAAGATTAGATATTCAAAACTCTGTGATATTAAGTTGTTAATTTTATAATGTACTAAAAAATAAGAAGGAAAATTGTGAGTGAAAAATTACAAAAATTTACTAAACATGATAGAAGTTAAAGCTTGATGATTTGGTGAATCCTTGAACCCTAGAACCTTTAGAATTTGAGGAAACTTGAAAATTTTGAAATTGAAAACTTAGTAGAAAACTAAAGTATTCTCACTCGGTTGAAGTTATTGTTACTGTTAAAAATTATTAAGGTTACCAATTTAATTGAATTTTATTTGTTTATAGTTTTTTTCTTAAATAAGTAGTTATGATACTTAAAAGTAT